CCCCCTGCTTGGGCTCCTCTGCAGGGAAAGGGCGCCAAACTACAAGGCGTCCAGCAGCTATGTGCGACTTAAGTTGCACAGGTTTTAGAGAGTCGGGCACCTTTTGTCGCACAGTTGCTGGACACCCCAGATTTTCAGTGTAGAGCCGATGATGTTTTACTGACGGACTGTTTTGGTCTTCCCCCGCAGGCTCGCAATCACTCGGCGTGTTCCCCCTCGACCCGATGAGGATTTCAAAGTTGCGGCTGCAGTCCGGAGCTGGCTCCATAGTGCTCGACCTCACCTTCCTCGATCTGGACATCTACGGCTTCAAGAGCCTACGGATTGATGACGTTGAGTAAGTCGACCCCCCTCAAGTGCTCTCTCTGAGAGACGATAGACGGGTGGGCATTCTCAGAAAACGTGCTTATTTTATCGTTAAGGGGCATTTCGTGCGACATTTGGCAACATGACGGTTCTAGGCTCTCAAGACCCCGCTGAATCCGAATCCGGATGTTGCCAAGCCGAATTTTGCCTCCTAAGGCCATAAATCCAAGATGGCGGCCAAAACAAGGGCTTAAATGACGATTTTCTGAAAGTGTTTCGATATTAGCCGGAGACGTGTCGTTTCCTACATTTTTCGGGTCGCTGAACACGAATATAAGCACCGGAAGTCGATTCGGTGACCGGAAGTACCGCAATTCAAGATGGCGGCCATCCGGGGCCTAAATACAAAACCCATAGAAGTCTGTGCATTGGCAAGTGCGGGGCATTGGCTCGTGCGTTTTTGGGGTCGCTGAACACGAATATAAGCACCGGAAGTCGATTCGGTAACCGGAAGTACCGTAATTCAAGATGGCGGCCATCCGGGGCCTACATACAAAACCTATAAAAGATTGTGCATGGGCAAGTGCGGGCTATCGGCGCATACGTTTTTCTCGTCGACTAATCCGAAAATGAGCACCAGAAACCGATTCAGGTACCGGAAGTGCCGAAATACAAGATGGCTGCCCGTTAGGGCCTAAATACCGCACTCAGAAAAATTGCCGCATAACGGTGTGCGGGGCATGGCCACATATGTTATCGAGGTCGCTGAACACGAATATGGGTACAGAATGGTGATTCAAAACATGTCAACACAGGTTCAATGAAATATAATGCTGCAAAACAATTAAAAGTTTGGAGTAAGACAGTAGAAGAGGTCACGCAAATATTTTACATAAATACTCCATCTGCGTTGTCCTGATTTGTGCACTCTCCCCGGCATTTGCACAGCTTAGTACAGACTTCATTTTCACGTCTGCACTTGCAGTTTTGTGGTGCATCCTGATGTGCAGCCACAACTCAACATTTGCGAGCACGACTGAGGTGCTACAGTCAGTGTGGAGTACACTGAAGCGTAATTGTTAACGTCAATGCGCCTGCCGTATTGGCATGGGTCGGGGAGCTCAGGCATGGCAAAGAGAAGAGCTCTAGGTGTGTATCACCTGAACTCCAAATTACCCGATGGTATTACATCTGAAGAGCTGCAGGAGTCCTTTCTGAAACGGTGCGAGCAGTTCTTGGTGCTGCTGTACAAAACAAAAGAGCTAACATCTGATGATGCCCGTCACATGCTCTTTGGAAAAGTCACGTGACTTTTGACATGTCCTGAACTTCTCCCACCGACGTCAGACGCTGCTCGACTTCACATCCTCCGGGCAGTCTACACGGAAAAAAAGAACTAGTCCTCACAACTAACATATTAGCTAATTCTGGGATAGACAACCTCCCCGACCCATGCCAATACGGCTAGCGCATTGACGGAAACAATTACGCTTCAGTGTACTCCACACTGACTGTAGCACCTCAGTCGTGCTCGCAAATGTTGAGTTGTGGCTGCACATCAGGATGCACCACAAAACTGCAAGTGCAGACGTGAAAATGAAGTCTGTACTAAGCTGTGCAAATGCCGGGGAGAGTGCACAAATCAGGACAACGCAGATGGAGTATTTATGTAAAATATTTGCGTGACCTCTTCTATTGTCTTACTCCAAACTTTTAATTGTTTTGCAGCATTATATTTCATTGAACCTGTGTTGACATGTTTTGAATCACCATTCTGTACCCATATTCGTGTTCAGCGACCTCGATAACATATGTGGCCATGCCCCGCACACCGTTATGCGGCAATTTTTCTGAGTGCGGTATTTAGGCCCTAACGGGCAGCCATCTTGTATTTCGGCACTTCCGGTACCTGAATCGGTTTCTGGTGCTCATTTTCGGATTAGTCGACGAGAAAAACGTATGCGCCGATAGCCCGCACTTGCCCATGCACAATCTTTTATAGGTTTTGTATGTAGGCCCCGGATGGCCGCCATCTTGAATTACGGTACTTCCGGTTACCGAATCGACTTCCGGTGCTTATATTCGTGTTCAGCGACCCCAAAAACTTATGAGCCAATGCCCCGCACTTGCCAATGCACAGACTTCTATGGGTTTTGTATTTAGGCCCCGGATGGCCGCCATCTTGAATTGCGGTACTTCCGGTCACCGAATCGACTTCCGGTGCTTATATTCGTGTTCAGCGACCCCAAAAACGTAGGAAACGACACGTCTCCGACTAATATCGAAACACTTTCAGAAAATCGTTATTTAAGCCCTTGTTTTGGCCGCCATCTTGGATTTATGACCTTAGTAGGCAAAATTCGGCTTGGCAACATCCGGATTCGGATTCAGCGGGGTCTTGAGAGCCTAGAATCGTCATGTTGCCAAATGTCGCACAAAACGCCCCTCGGAGAAAAATTATTGAAGTTGCCCACCCGTCTACCCTGGACTGACATCAACTTTCTGCTTTGGCTCTTTTTTCAGTTTGGACTCTCCCAAGGACCGCCTCAAGTTGAAAGTCACAATCACCTCCGACTTCGTCCTCAACGGCGACTACGTGGTGAAGGGTAGGCTCCTCGTCGTGCCTATCGCTGGCGCTGGCAGGTGCAACATCACACTTGGTGAGTCTCGCCCCGCTTCTCGACGCTCTTAAGTGTCCTGCGTCCAGTGTTCACACCATTACTCCCGTGATCTGTGCTTGCAGGTAAACCAGTGGCAGCCACTGGAGAACTAAACTGGAAGAAGCAGAAAGGCGCCGGAGGACGAATGTACGCTCACGTAGAAAAATTCCAGTTCGATTTCAACCCGAAGACATTCAAGCTCCACTTCCACGACAAGGATCACGGGAATGACCAGCTTGGGAAAACTTTGAATAGGATAGCTAACGACAACGCCAATGAAATCCTGAAGGATCTCAAACCAGCAATTTCCGTTGCCTTTGGACAAGCCTTCGAAGACATTGCCAACCGAGTTTTCAGCAAGGTACCCTACGACGACCTTTTCCCTAGCAAATAATTTAGTACGTGAAAAGTTTTTGACTTCACCTCCAGCCAATATACCAAATTTATTTATATCTTTTGTGAGAGGAATGTGATTTTATGTGATAATTAGTTAGGTTTAAAAATAATCGACTGTTTCCCATAGAAAATTGGCGTATCAATTCAGTAGACTGCACAATTTTGTACCACGCACTGCGTGT